AACGAAAAAAAAAAAAAAAATAACATGAAAAAAGAAAAATGCATTCTCTGATAAACCGGTGATCGATTGAACACGAAATTACAGAAACAAAACTTACATTAACTCACAGTGGCCAAGGATTAGAGCCCTTTTACTCTAGAAGCGATTGCGAGAGAAATTAAAGGGCGCGTGTTGTTTGTGTGCGTACGAACGAGCTCACGCCCAACAGTGAGGAGTGAGCGCAAATGGTGAAGAATGAAGGAGAAAATAGCACGTTCCCAATTTCCTCTGCCAAGTTGTGTACTGTGTTGCAGTCTTGCAGGCCGTATTAGTACGATTGACCGATTTACCCTTTTTCTGTTGAGAGCGTTTCACATCTTGTGTTTGAGCGTAGGCAAGGCAGGCGATATGTGTGTATTAGATTAATTACTGTCATCTTTTTATGAATTTTATTCCATAACTTTAACACAATGTTATGCTTTTATTTGTATTATTTTATAATGTTTTAATTTAAAAGTGTCCTGTTAACAAATATGAATATATAATTGTTACATATTATGTGTGCCTAAATCAACCTTATATACTTACATTTTATGATTACGTTAGAGCATCTACAATGCTTTGGTTCGATCCCAAAAAATTATATGCCACATAATAAATAGACCCAGTCCAAAAAAATATATTTTCCAATGCAAATAAAAATAGACTGGGTCATGCTGATGTGACAGCCAGAAAAAGAGACCCGATCTCCCCTTAAGTCCATTTTAGACCCAAGTAGAGACCTAGTCTCTTTGCATTGGAGTGAATTTTATTAATTTTACATAATTTTATCTACGTCATTTAAGACTTGGGTTTATTTACTTGCCACATAGGCAAAACTAGACCCAATGCATTGAAGATGCTCTTATATAACGAAGTTGAGAGTCAATCATAGCTTTTAACTTCAGTTAGCAATTTAAGCATATTTCTCATTTTTGTGAATTTAAGATACAATTTTTTTTAATTTTTATTTTTTTGCAAATGTAGACATAGACTTGGGTTTTAATGATCGCTAAATGATGTGTCCAAACTTATTTGCGGATACAACATTTACTTTTTAAAAATGAATTGATTTTGAATAAAAATGATTGAGTGAATAGTTGGGTGAGATTTTGAATTTATAATTGAAAAATATTTCATAAATAGCTACTTGAGTTATAGATGGAAATAACAATTTTTTTGCCACACTTTGTTGGTTTTACATATATTTAAATCTTTGAAAATGTTGTGAATTTAAACACTGAGACCAATGTATAAAATTTATAAATATAGACAATAACTATATTTGGTAAAATTAGTTGAACAACTAGCTGATAATTGATAACTTATAAGTAAATTTTGAAATGCTAATAAGTCATGACTGGTGGTTCAAAAATTATATGATACAATAAACATGTTTGATAAATTAACTTATAAGCTAAATGAATTTTGAAATCTTAGCTGATAACTCATGACTGATAGCTCAAAAGTCATTTGATATAATAAAATTGGGTAAAATATACACGACCCCCTTGTATTATACGAAATCTGCGCGTTTTCCCCCTGTATTTTAAAAATTGCGTCAGACCCCCTTCTATTAATGTTTTGTATGCGCGAAATACCCTAAAACGTCTAAATTTTGGGTGTTTTGCGCATACAAAACCTTAATAGAAGGGGGTCTGATGCAATTTTTAAAATACAGGGGAAAAACGCGCAGATTTCGTATAATACAGGGGGGTTTGGTGCATTAAACCCTAATAAAATTGTTTGGTAAAATTAACTAATAAGTCAATTGAAAAAAAAGACATATTTAAAAAGCTACTTGAATACAACAAGTTTATAAACTTCATCAATGAGTTTCTGAGTTAGTTTGTGATGCTCACCATACTCTATGTAAGCTTGTGCATTTGTCTTTTTATCTATTTTTTATTTATTACGAAGGCACACCCCGGAATGGTGGGGGATTAAGGCATGTTCTCCAACTTGTATATAATTGAGACCCTAACTAGGCCAGAAAAATCACAAATCTACACATGTT